TAATATAATCTAATTATCACACGTATATAATCTAAATACCACATATTTCTTCTTGTTTCTGAGTCATTTACATAATAAATTCTATAATGGAGTTGTTGACCCTCTGTAGCTGTTTCGATATCTGGTTTTATGTTGAGAATGCTGGCCTTCTGCATCTGATTGAATGCTAGATTCTATGTTGAAGTGCTTTTCCTTTACGCCTATTTGGTTACCTTTCTAGATCCCAAAAATGTGGTAAAAAATATCATGTCAGTGAATTCTGCTGTATATTCAAACACCATTAATGATCAGAGTGCTTCAAAAAAAATTGGGAACATTATTAATATTGTTAATGATCAAAATAAATCGGCAGAAGATCCAAGACCACCTAAGTTACTTCTATTAAAGATAGGTCAGAACCTTTCACAAAGCAATCATCATGTCAAAGCACCTCCAAAAGTGTATCATTTGTTACCCAACTATTATACTAGTATAAGTATGCTATTTTCGCATCCTGAAGTTCAAATTATTATCACTTGATTCAAAAACTGTGAACATTATTCACTGTTTTTCTGAAAATTCAATACATAATTATACAAGATTTTATTAGACCATTATTACAAAATAAGTAAACATAATGTTTATCTTATTTATCTTATTCATCTTATAAAGTATATTTATATTCTGTAAGTATTTCTATCATATTTTTATCTTATTTTAATCGAATATAGAGTAAATATCAGTTATGATAATATCCATGCGAGTATTACATGTAAAAAAGTTCAATTCGCATAACTTTCAAGGGATCATATCTAATCTATTTGATTACTGAAATAAAGTAATTTTGAGGTATACAATTTGAAAGATCGAAGCTGATGCCATTTTACAATCCAACTATTGCCTATTTGTTGCTGATATATGTATGGCGATTTCATGTTTCAGAACTGGTGATATATTTATGGTCAGTTGGTTAGAGTATTAGTGATATAATTTATATTATCATGACCAGCCCATTTGATTGTCAATATTTTATATAATGATTATGCAGAAGACTTCTTGCTATATCTGAGTACATATCTAGAAAAATGTAGCCTTCTGCTAATATTTTATATAAAGAATACACAGAAGGCTACACTTTTTAGAGTATACCAAGTTGCATTTCTTTTATGATTTGCTGACTAAGTTTGTTATTGCTCTTTTTTATATCTATTAAAAAAAATATTTTAAACATTTCGTAATCCAACTATTGTGCTAGTACATATATGCCAATTTCGTGTCTGAGGTTAGAGGAGTGATATATATTCTCATGGCCAGCCTATTTATACCATACCCAAGTACATATCTAGAAAAATGAAGGCTTCTGCTAATATTTATACAATAGATTACGCAGAAGCCTTTATTATACCTGAAAATATACTAGTGATAGGGTAGTCTTCTGCCAATATTTATATAATAGAATGCGTAGAAGATATATGTCTAGAAATATGAAGGCTTCTGCTAATATTTATATAATAGATTATGCAAAAGTCTTCACTTTTAGATATATATCCAGTTGCCTTTCTTTTTTGGTTTTCCATCTAAGTTTGCTATCACTTTTTTTTCGCATCTATCAAAAAAATTAATTAAACATTTCAAAATTATATTGGAGTATATAAAGTTTTTCCTACTGATAACATGCGTACCTCAACTATTTTTGACCAAACTGATCACACTGCAACTTTCGCCCGCTATGACGATGCTGAGTTTTTAGCCAGCATTTCATCACGTAATGAGATCATAGTAGAATATGATAATGGAATGTCTGCTATACTTCAACAAAGCCTATCCAGCAAGCAACCCATACATTTCATGTCTACTGAAGTTAGTGATGATACCAAATATATAAATGGGACTTCTATCTATATTTTGTGTATCACTGGTTTTTTGATTAATAGGTAAAAGGCAGTCATAAATATTACAGGTATCTGATCTTTCTTTGATGTCAAAGTTCCTGAAAACATGCCATTATCTATATTTAAGATCAAATTAGTAAGGATACTATCTAATATTCTTAATAATATATCAAAGTTTAGGATCGAGACTATTAGCGCTTATCCACTTTAAAAATACCATACAGAAAAAAAACTATATATTCATGTAAGAATATGGAACCACTATGACTGGTATAATGCATTAAAAGCAGTCTGTGCTATTGAAATATGTACAGCCTTAGATGATCTAAACTGCCAGTATTATTGTTGCAAAGTAGCCTGTGAAAAAAGATTACCTCTTTTGAGTTAGGCAATATTAAGTAATTATTTATATAAACACATTCAAAGGGGTACTTATTTTTTCTAAGTATCCGTGAATAATTACAATCCAATAAGTAAAAATGATTATAATAATCCATTATTCTTCTCAGCCCTTTCATAGAATCTCACTCTTGTTCTTATATAAAACATAGAAACATATAGTTCACTTGGACTAAGTAACTTTCTCACTGCACAGAGTGATGAATCTAACATATTTATGATCTGCATGTCAATCCATTGGAAAGACAATCCTAATCCACTAAAGTAAATTTGTCTCGTAGATGTTAAAACTGCGCCAGACCTGTGTTAGACTACAATTATATGCAGGAATCAAGAAAATCTGTTAAAAGCCTTCACCTTATGTTAGAAACTACTAGTCCTAAATACAGTCAACTCTCTATAAATGCACTTTATATAAATACACACCCTTTTTAAATGCACTATTTAGCTCAGTCCCAAGTTGGGGAATTAGTGTTAAATGCACCCTTTTCTCTATAC